TTTGATATTGTGCTATAGTTATGTAAAGGCTTAACACTGGGAAACTGGGTGCACAGGACCCCCCTGTACATTTCTTTGCAACTTCCTGTGAATCTATAATTATTCCAAAAGTTGAAACCAAACAAAGAAAGAAAGAAAAGAAACAAGCCCACAACAGAGCCTGTGTGTGCTGCTCTGCTCTGACTGCTAGTGACCCTGCTCCCAAGAGACATCCTCTAGGGAGACTAGCCTGCATGCTGTTGTCTCTTTTTTGTTTTGTCATGTCTTTTTTATTTTGTCTGATAACCCCTGTCTTAGTCCATTTTGTGCTGCTATAAAGGAATGCCTGAGGCTAATTTATACTGAAAACAGGTTTATTTGGCTCATAGTTCTGTAGGCTGTACAAGAAGCATGGCACCAACATCTGCGTCTGGTGAGGGCCTCAGACTGCTTCCACTCATGGTGGACGGCAAAGGGGAGCATGTGCAGAGATCACATGGCAAGAGAGGAAGCAAGAGAGAGAGAGGGGGAAGGTGCCAGACTCTTTTTAACAACCAGCTCTCCTGGGAATTCACAGAGTGGGAACTCAGTCCCCCCTCCAGGAAGGCCATCAATCTATTCATGAGGGATTCACCCCCATGAAACAAACACCTCCCATTAGTCCCCACCTCCAACATTGGAGATCAGATTTCAATATGACATTGGAGGGGTCAAATATCTCAACTTTAGCAATCTCTGAAACTTTTTATGTAGCCTCAACCGCCTTCTTTATGTATCTTGTCAGTAGGGAACAGATGGTGGACGTACAAGGGCAAAGACACACAGAAGTCTGGGTGTGGCGTTTAAGCAAACAGGCAACTCTATGTGCTGGAGCTTACACTGGATTAAGGGCTTTGAAGTCATACCACTGGATTCACAAACCCACCTGTCACTTACTATTAACAAGATCTCAGATAAGGTGCTCACCCTTTTGTGCTTTAGTTTTCTCATCTATGAAATGAAATGATAATAATACCCATAGCATAGGATTACTGTGTGTGAGTGTGTGTAGCTTAGAACAGTACCAGACCCTAGAAAGAGTTAATAAATATTAGTTGTTATTTATAATACTAATAAAAACAATTGCTTAATATTATTATGTCTCTCTACAGGTTTTATCATTCCTAATTTACAATGAAGAAGCTGATATTTAGCAAAACTAATTAACTGGTATGTGTTGCCTAATGACAGGACAAAGTTCTTGCCCTTTCCAATATCCCTATTTGAGTAAGTGTATACAGAAACCGTGCCAGAAAAAGGAGGGGGGAAAAGCCTAGAAAGCAGAGAAAAGGAAAAAGAATAGATTCTATTCCAAGAGGAAAGTATATATAGTTGACCCATGAACAATGGAAGGGTTAGGGGTGCCCATGCCCCACGCAGTTGAAAGTCCACATACAACTTTTGAGTGTCCCCCCAAACTTAATTATGAATAGACTACTGTTGACTGCAAGCCTTACTGATAACATAAACAGTTGACTAACACATATTTGAATGTCATATGTATTATATATTATATTTTACAATAAGTAAATATTTTTACTTATTTTACAATAAGTAAATAAGCTAGAGAAAAGAAAAAGTTATTAAGAAAATTATAAGGAAGAAAAAACATATTTACTATTTATTAAGTGGAAGTGGATCAGCTTCACAATAAGTAGAATGAGGAGGAGGAGGAAGGGGAGGAGTTGGTTGCTCTTGCTCTTTCATGGGTGGCAGAGACAGAAGAAAATCCACCTATAAGTGGACCTGTGCAGTTTAAACACATGTTGTTGAAGTGCCAACTGTAAAAGAACAACTCAGCTGACTTAAACCACACAGGAAAATAATTTTCACCCTAAACATGAATTTCTAAGGCTGGGAGCATCTGGGTTTTGGTGAATTCAGTGGTTCAGCAATGTCATCAACAACCTGGGTCTTTCTGTCTTTCTATTCTGCCAATTTTAGTGATTTTAGCTACTGTTATGGTTCCAACATAACTGCAGCATTTCAAGGGTCACAGGAAGACACAACCAAATCCAAGGGAGAAGAAGACTACTCCCAACATGTATTTTTTAAGAAAAGGAAATCTCCACCAGAGCCCCCACCCCAGGAGACGCCACCTTCCAGCACATGGATTGGAGTTGTGTTATGTGCCCAGGGACCGCCACGAATGGCTCAGAGAAGGATGTAGCTGGGCAGAGATGGGGGTGGGGGTACCCGGCAAAACTGAGGTTTGGTCACAAGGGAGAAATGGACAGTGGCTTTTGGGTGGTAATCAATATCCTTCTCTCCCCAAGGAAATCATCCTTCTCCTTTGACACTCCCTTATCAACAGGCAAAATAACAGTTTCGGGACTAAGCAATAACACAAATTGTACAAAGGTTCACCCAGAGCAGACCTTGTTTTTGAAAGTCATATTTGATATATGCATGTATCAGTCAAACAGGCTAGGTCATGATGGCATGACCTATAATAGGCAACACCCACATTTCTGAAACAAACAACTGCAGCAGTTTATTTTTTGTTCCAAAAACCTCCCCCAGTTGCAGCCAACTTTCCAGGGCCGTCAAGGTCTCACTCAGCATCCCAGGCTTATGTAGTCCTACAGCATCTCCGTCTAAACCCGAGACTTCAGGATTCACAGCAGTGGGAACATGGAAAACCTCACACCTGCTCCTAAGTGCTTTGGCCTGGAAGCGGCAAGTGTCACCCCAGCACTTTGCTAGAATGAATCCCATGGCTCTGGTCAGCTTCGGGAAAGCCTGGTAATGCAGTCATCCATGCGTCCAGAAAACAGAGGAGAGCCAGGAACATCCACGAGTAATAGCAATAAAGTCAACCGCAGCCCCTGTTCAGGAAGCAAGCCAGGAAGGGGCTCCTGCTCCAGATGGGCCAGGGCACCAGAGAAGGAACCTTGACAAGGCCAGGACCAGGCTGGAGCCAAGAGCCCGTCCACTTTCTCTATCACGACTCTCTCCTCTGGTAGGGCCTTCATCATTCCATAGCAGCTTGGTTTCCAGTGGGGAATAGCTTGAGCTAATCAGGACAATTTGAAATTAACCCATACACTGAAAAATGCAAAACCTTGCACAGATCAAAACTACAAACGTAAGTGGAAGCATCCTAACTTGGCAAGGCGTTGTGCCAGGCCCCTCCTCAGCTGTGACGTTTGTTAGACACAATTTTGAATGCTTCCTAACCTACAGTGTGAACAACACTGATTCAGAGCAGGAAAGACCTTGTCCTAAACATCTCTCCCCTCCTCCCCGCCCAGCCATAAACCCTGAACCGTGAGTGAGCATTTTGGGAACGGGGCCAAGTGAGAGACTTTGGCTAGGGAGGCACAGAATCAGCTACGGCCGCCCCCAAAGAGAAATTTTATTCTGTCTCTGGAGTCTTCTTAAACTTCTCAGAGAAAGTCCGTAGCTGGCACGGATGAAGGGCAATGAAGGGCACACCCTCGTTGTCAGTAAGACACTTGGCTACAGCGCACTTTGCAGTCGTTGGTCTGATTGACCCTTGCAGGAGTCTATCCATTAAATAAAGTATAAACACAGAATGAAAATTTGGAAACTCAGAAGGTTGTCGATTCAAAATTCAGATCAACTGGGAAACTTGTAAACGGTTGTCCTTTGAAGTAAACAAATTATGAGGCAATAACCTTCCTGCTAGTGGATTGGGTAGGTTTTTTCAAATCACTTGTGAGCCCAAGGGGAGCAGCCACACTTAATTTTATAAGCTTTTTCTTGGAGGACTTGCTAATGGAGTCAATAAAATTTGAGGAATCTAATGTAACCAAAAAGGCTTTTCCAGCATTTAGCGTGTCAATGAAAAAAACAAAAGCAAAAACAACTCAATCCTTCAAGATAATCTTCCACCTATTAAATATTCAGTCTCACTGTGAATTTTCTAACAAGGAAATGGGCATTTAAACTTATGGTAGAAATATTTTACTACCATTTTCATCCTGTCTTCTCTGTGTATAACATCTATCGGCAGAAAAACACTAAAAGGAAAATGAATATATTTTACTTTTAAATATATTAATACTTCAGTGATATCAGCTACAGCCCCCAAAGAGAAATTTTATTCTGTCTCTAGAGTCTTCTTAAACTTCTCAGAGAAAGTCCGTAGCTGGCACGGATGAAGGGCACACCCTCGCTGTCAGTAAGACACTTGGCTGCAGCGCACTTGGCAATCGTTGGTGTGATGGAGAAGACCCTTGCAGGAGTCTCTACCCATTAAATACAGCATTGCCCTGAGCATCAACACTGTGACTTGTGTAACCTAAGTCCCAACCAGGCTCATTGGTGGCAAAGCAGGGTTTGATGACGACCTGGACTGGCTGTTCTCAGACAAGGGTCCATTCCTGAAGTTTGGTGTAAGAATACACCGTGTCCCTTGAAATGCCATAAAGGACACTTTCCACTGAGAAGCCCTTCCTGGTTTGATGCCTTTTACTGGAAAACACTCACTGTTTCTGACCCATCTCGGGGAGGCCTGAGCAGATTGTGAAATGTCATCACCCAGCTCTATCCATGGATTATCGGCTCCAAAGAACTACATGCCTCTCTAAGTCATCCTGTAAGATGACCCCAAAGTGTGACTTGTCACACCACCCCAGGCTCCTTCATCCCCCAAGGAGTGGAGGGCAGCTTTGCCCCGTGCACCGAGGATTCATGCTCACAGATAATCCAGAGCATGTTCTGAACATTAACTCTGTTTGCAGCCAAGTCATGGCCTGCAGGGCCTGCCAGAGCAGAAGCTCACCAGCCCCCGGGGTGGGCATGGGAGCAGGGAAGGGCACTACTTTCACCAGGAGCAAGGCCACCATGTCCCTGGAATGAGATCTCTATAATTCTGCTACTAATTTGGTGCCTGTAACTTTGACAGGCTAAGGCCTTTCCGTAACTCCTCCACCCCGCATATAAAAGGTTGAGGCTCTGAGGCTTCAGGACCAGGCTGTGGTCTCTGTGAACCCCAGGCCCGAGGAAACAAGCGCGGCAGCACTTGCCTTCCTTACACCACACCAAGACAGCCCCGGACTCCTCTCAACGGTAAAGGATGTGGAGCCTGAGTGTGCCTGGGCTGGAGGCTTCGCTTACACTCCTGGGGGGAAGGGAAGTCGTCTTTCCTCTGAGCCTGCTTGCTTGCACCTGCTTGGGAATGACTTAGGAATCATAATGGGGCTTTTCCATGCCCACTCTGTACGATATAATGATGCATTCAAAACAAGTCAAACTCCACGAGAAATCAGCATCCAGTGTTCACTTTACAAGGTTCTAGTAATATGAAATACAGTGAAGAAAAAACAGCACATATTGACTGAGAGACGCTGAAACCCCAGAGGAACAAACGCCCTCCAGGAAGGTTCAGATAGAGTCCTGCAGCACAATGGGCTTCTCAGAAGACCAACACTTAAGAGGACGCACCTTAGTGTCGGTCTTCGTGATTCTGAAGCAGTGCTTCTTAAACTGTAATGTGCAAGGGTCACCTGGGGATCGGGTTAAAATGCAGACTGTGAGTCAGATTTTGGTCTTGATAAATTCTGCATTTGACCAACTCCTAGGTGCAGCCAGTGCTGCTGGTTCTCGGGACAATGGGGTAGCAGGGCTCAGTGGTGTTTCAGCGACAGTAAATAATCTTTGAGACTTTTCAATGGTCGAATCTCATCAAATCAGCAAAATGTCAAAGTACATTTTATTAAAAACTTTGTTCTGTTTTTTAAATTTTTATATTAACACAGTGAAAAAATGATTCTTTTGTGCCTGCTCAGTTCTGTGAATTCTAACACACATACAGCTTCACGCAACCACCATGATCAGGGGACAGAACAACCCCATCTCGCCCCGCCCCCAAATTCCCTTGTGCTGTGCCTTTGTGGTCATACCCTTCCCCATCTCCAACCCCAGGCAGTCATTAGAGTTTTGTCTTTTCAGGAATGTCATATAAATGGAATCATCGAGAATATGTAAGCTTTTTGAGATGGGCTTCTTCCACGCAGCATAATGCCTTTGAGATTCATCCAAGCTACTGCGTGTATTGACAGTTTGTTCATTTTAATTGCTGCACAGTATTCGTCCTATGCATGTTTGAAGATTTTTTTCCATTCACCCATTGAAGGACTATTAGGTTGTCTCCACATTTTGGCAATCACCAGTAGAGCTGTGTAGAGGTGTACAGGTCTTTGCTTGAACATAAGTTTACATTTCTCTCGGCTAAATACCTGGGAGTGGAATTGCTGTGTCAAATGGTGGGTATACATTTAACTTTAGAAAGTGCCAAACTGTTTTTCAGGGCAAATACCTGCGCCATTTTGCATTCCTTCCAGCAACGCATGAAAGTTTCAATTGCTCCACACCCATCCTCTCTAGCACTTGTCAACATTTTTTTACTTCGCCCATTTTTATAGGAATGTAGTGACATCGCTACATGGTTTTACTTTGCACTTTCCCAATGCCTAATGATGTTCAACATCTTTTGATGTTTTTATTTGATATCTGTGTAACCTCTTTGGTAAAGTGTCTATTCGAGTGCTTCGCCCATCTTTCAATTAAGTTGTCTGTTTTCTTATTGATGAGTTTTGAGAGTTCTTTATATATTCCGGATAAAAGTCCTTTGTCATTTATGTGATTTGCAAATTTTTTTCCCTCAATTTGTACATTGTCTTTTCATTCTCTTAACAATGTCTTTTGTAGAGCGTAGTTTTTAATTTTGATCGAGCCCGATTTATTAATTGTTCTCTTTCCATTTTACTTTAAGAGTGTTTGCCTTAATTCTTGGAGCATTTTTTCAATAGCTGTTTTAAGTCTGTTAGATTATCACATCTGTGTGATTTCTGTTGGCATCTATAGATTTTCTTTCCTCGTCCTAGTTGAGATTTTTCTGCTTCTTTGCTGAGTAACTGTCGAGTTCTAGCCCGGACATTTTGAGTGTTATGTTCTTACACTTTCAGTCTTGTCTATGACCGTTAGAGACTATTGATATTTTTGTTTGTTTTAGCCGACAATTCGTGTGGTTGGGTTCAGGCCTCCAGTTCCAGCCAGCCTTCTGTGAGTTGTGGTTTCAGAGTCAGTTTCCTCTGAAATTCTTTGCAGTGCCATCAGCGCGGTGACGGCCCGGGTAGCTGGAAAAGTCTTTGGTGTAGGGGCTGGGATCACAGCCACGCATGCGCAGCTCAGAGGCAGCTTGCTCAGGCGCAATCTTCTAGGGATCTCTTTCCTGAGGTCCGCCCACCTCGGAGATATCCCTGATACTTTGCAATTCTCTGGAGTCCCCCTTTTCAGTCCTTTGGCCAGAAGTCTGGGACTTTACTTACCCAGTTCTGCAGCGCACTCTCTGCAACTGCACTGACTTCTGCGCCAAGTGCCAACAAGCCCAAGAGAGAAAATAAGTGGCAATTGTCAGCTCCACCCCGTCAGGGCCACCGCCCTCCTTCAGAGAGGAAGACTTTCTGCCCTCCAGGTCTCGAGTCTCTGCAGATCAGGCTGCCACTCAGTTCTGTCCTCACCACGCCTCCCTCAGCTTGGAGTTCCCTGGAAAGTCAGGTGTTCCCCCCGTTCTCTGAGCATGAGGAGCCCCCTTTCTCCCTAGGATCAAAGGATTTCTTGGAGCTCCATCTGTCCATGTTCCCACTTAGGGGGTTCTGGTCGCCTTGACCCTACACTGGGGATACCAGAGGAAAAGTGGAAAATCTAGCGCCAACCAATGGCAGTTGGAATTCCGGTTTTCTCCTCCAAGCCACCTGCTGCTACTTACTTTGCAGAGACTTGGAACAGCTCCCCCTGCATTCTGTCCTGAGCGGCGTCCTTGGGAGGGGCGAGTTGCCCCCTCTTACCTGGAACTGGAGCCTCCTGCTCTATTTCAAGCCTTGATCATAAAGAAAAATTTTCAAAGCAATTAAACATACTTTTTGAAATGTGAAAAATAATCACAAAAATGCGAGACGTACGCTGGTATCACGCACAATCGGCCAGTATGTAATGAGACGCTCTAGCCAAGAGTCACAAGAACGATCAGTATAAGCCAAAACTCTTCTTTAAAAAAAGCAACTCTCAGATTTCTCCACTTGGGTTTAATACTCAGAGCAACCCGAGACTAGGGAAATTAAATTGCTGGCCTGGTGACAGGGCTCCGGAGGGACAATGTTCCTTTGTTCCAGGGGGCTCACTGGCCACTAGGTGGCGCCTGGTGCAGCACAGGAGCCTCGCAGATGGCGGAAGTTCAACAGATTTTGTTCAACGGAATGGATGTCTTCACATCACGCTGTAGCTCTCTTTGAGCATGAATTAGTTAACTTTGTGAAGTAAAATTCGCAATTGTCATTGAGATTATTATGGCTTTTCCACGTTGGTGGTGATTGACTGGAAGCACCAGTCCCAATGCTCCCAAACAACAGATTGGGGGTGGTGTTTTGGCGCAGGTGGTACAGAGGCATAGAGCTATTCATCAAGGACAATGCCCTGTGTTCCCTAAGGACTTTCCAAGTGTTGGTAGTCTCCTCACCATGCCTATGCAAGGGGAAGCAGTTGTCCTCACTTCAGACCCCAGGAGACCAAAGCACAAATAGTCACAGAAACACGTTACCTGTGAAGGGTTGCGCTAAAGCATGAGTCGCTAACAGTCCCCCAGCAGGTTAGAGCCAGGGGACTGGGCTGAATCTTCAGTTCAAAGACAAGAGAAGAAACTTTCCCCCAACGTTTATTGAGGTATAACTCGTGTATACTACAGTTCACCCATTTTAAATGTAGAGTGTGATAAGTTTTAGCAAGTGTATACTGCTTTATAATCACCACTATAAACAAGCTACAGGACATTTCTGTAACCTAAGAAGTGCTTCATGCCCCCTTGCAGTCAGTCCTTTCCCCATCCCCACCTCAGACAAGTCCTGATGTGTTTCTGTGGCTCTGGCTCTGCAGGGCTGTCATCGGCATGTCCCTTCCCCTAGGAAGCACCCCAAGCCCCAGACAGGTCAGGGGACCCTCCTTGTGCCTCCCCATTCCAGCACCTGTTACATGAAGTGCCCATGACGAGTCTGTACTCATGTCACTCTCTGCTTCAGCTGACGTCACCCCAGGAGGGACCCTGTCTTATCCCAGCGTCAGCCCTCGGAAGTGAAGGCGGGCAGATACCTTCAATTCCTTCATTCTGCCTTATCTTTATATTTTCCTAAATGTGTATTTATAATGTTGTCATTTAATTTTGTTTCCTGGAGGCCACGAAAGTGGTGATAGCAGCTGCTACAGTTCTGCTCCTAGTGAGAGCAATGACTAAAACAAGATAGTCTGTCTAAAAGGGAAATACATTTTTTAAAAATGTCTTACTTGCTTTCAGTATTGTGTCTCCAGCATCTTCCAGCAAAACAGCTGGTTAGTTTGTAAAAATAACATGGTGAAGATGGAGACGGATGTGGACGTCAATCTTCAGGCGAGACGGAACTCGGCTATTCCTCGGAACAACGTGTCTCTTCCTTCTTACACGCGTGGGACGCCCCCAGTGAGTGGGTGCAGTGAGGCCCCTCTGATGGACCAGAGGTGGATGGACATAGGACAAAAGCTCTCACTGAATGCTCCCCTGGGCGTGGTCCTACGTGGGACGCCGTTTCACCTTTTGACCTAAGAATGGACCCTGTCCTGTCATCTAAGAGTTCTTAAACAGACCGGGGACAGACATAAATGGACCTCAGTCACATACCCAAGAAGCCAAACACTTAATATTATGTAAACAAAGGATGAGCGCTTATTTGGGGTTGTCAATGACATCCAATGAGCTTGGGCTGGGGGTGTCCCTGTGTCAGACGACAGCCCGAAAAGCAGAGGCCAGGGGAGGCTCGTCATTACATTTATTCAGAACATTATAAATTGCCAAACACTTTTACATCTCGATCAGATTTGATCTTCAGAGAATCTATAGTGATACGGAAATGGAGGCCATGAGAATTTATGTGACAAACAGAAGGTATGTCGAGGCCGTGGAAACACAGGTCTGGAGTCAACATCTGGCTTCAGACCCATCTCCTCCTCTCACCTCACGGTCCCCATCCCTCTGTGAGAGGGCTGTGGCCGGGACCTTCACCCTGGGTTCTAGGCACACGTGGCAGGTGCCCCTCCGGTGCTTCCCCTGGGTGGCAACTCAAACCCCATCCTTCTGGCGCTACTCAAGGTCACTCCCACAGCCCTCCATGGCCCTCCACAGCCTCCCACCTCTGGCGTTCCCGCCTTGCGCAGGCACAGCCAGGAGGGGCTCCACCGGCACCCCGTCTCCTTCACGCCCCACTTGGATTGTGGAGAGTGACCTCCAGATCCCTTGGGAGCCTGCCCACTCTTGGTCACCTCACCCCGCCCACCCTGGTCACAGCTTCTCCCTGGGCTCCTCCCCTGCACTCACCCTTGCCCCTCCAGTCTCAACCCCCAGAGCATCTTGTAGGATGCAGGTCTGGACCCACCACTCCCCCACTGACGTCCCCTCCTGGCATGGGGTCCCATCCCTCTTTGGGGGAAGCCAAGCCAAGTCACTCAGGCTCACATGTCCCCAACCCCTCTGTGGGGCCCCACCCACAGACGGGAGCATCTGCAGTCTCTGCTGGGCCCACTCAGGTCCGGGAGCTGAGCAGAGTTTCTTCATGGAAAGAAGTGGGCATTTGGAGTGTCTGACAAGTGTCATTCCACACACAGAGCCCACATGTGCGCATGCGCACGCACACACGTACCTCAAAGCAGCTTGCTTGGGGAGCGTCAGGCACTGGAACCATTTTCTATGACAAGCCCCTTTAGTAAAGAGCTTGGAAACTCGCAGAAGTATGAAGCCTGCTCTCGCCAGTTATTGCCGGGGGACCACAGCAAGTTCCGGAACTCCTCAGACGTCCCAGCTACAAAATGATGACGGTACAGCCCATCTCATGATGCAGATGTTGTGATAGCTGAATGGACGGAGGTGGACGAAATGCCTGGCTCACACTCCCTGCTGATAACATGTTGAGAAGAGATTCTCCTGTGAGGGGGAGGAAGGACAGAGGTGTTGCCAGGTGCCTGTCGCGGGGCAGCCTGCTCAGGCGCCGAGCGGCCGCTTCTGTGCGCACAGCTGCGTCCCGACGACCAGCAGCAGGGCCTGGGCCACGCGTGTCCCCCCACGGACAGGTCCTGTGGCTGGCCAGGGTCCCCTCCTGTCCCAGCAGGGTCTTGGTCCAAACAGGCGCCCGCACCCTGCGGAGTCCCGGGGATCGTGTTTCACAGGGGATCGTGTTTCACAGGGGATCTGCGCTCTTTCCTCTTCCAGGGGATGAACAATCAGTACGCGCGCCGCGAGGTCTTCTGCAGGAACACCTGTCACGAGCTCAAGCGCTTCTGGGAGAGGGAGATCGGCAAGCAGACTTGCTACCGAGAGTCGGAGGAGCATCGCCTGGGAAGGAGTGCGCTGAGGAGGTACGGAGCTGTTCGTCTACTTTTAAAATTAACTCATTTTTAAAATAGGTGGTATTGTTTAGGGAAGTTATAGGTTCATGGCAAAATTGAGCAGAAGGTACAAAGAGTCCCCATTTACCCCCTGCCCCCCCATATACACAACTGCCCCACTGCCAACATCTGCACCACAGTGGTGCATTTGTGACAATCAGTGAACCCTCAATGACACACCATTATCATCTTGTTGATTTTGTAAAAGCAAAATTGATTTCCCCAGAAGAATGCCAGATGGATATCTTAGAGCAGCAGTCCCCAACCTTTTTGGCACCAGGGAGGGGGTTCATGGAAGGATGGGGTGGGACCGGGGCAGGAGAATAGTTTCAGGGCGATTCAAGCGCACCTCATTCATTGTGCGGTCAGCCCTCTCTGCCAGTGATCATCTGTGTTTGCAGCCGCTCCCCGGCGCCAGCATCAGCGCCTCAGCTCCGGCTCGGGTCAGCGGCGCTAGATTCTCATAGGAGCCGCAACCCGGATCGCTCCCTCGCACGCGCAGTGTACAGCAGGGCTCAGGCTCCTGGGAGAATCTGCGGCTGCTGCTGAGCTGACAGGAGGCGGAGCTCAGGCTGCGAGCGAGTGACGGGAGCAGCTGTAAATACAGATGAAGCTTCCCTTGCCTGCCTGCCGCTCACCTCCTGCTGGGCAGCCCAGTTCCCAACAGGCCTCGCACCGGTATTGGTCCACAGCCCGGAAGGTGGGACCACAGTCTTACAGGACATAACCATTTGAATATTCTATGGCCACAGTCCATTAATTCTTATCTTTATAAACTGAAAAAATCTCTCCTTTCTGTCACCATCTTGCCTGTCTAGCACACAAGGGTTACCCTAAATCAGGGAGGAAGGGAGGCAGCAAATGTGCCTGCGAAAAGCAATCAAGCAAAGGTGACAGTGACCAATTCTCAGTGCACGTTTGGGTGAAGACACAGGATGCCCCCGTGGTTCCCGGGGTCGGCCGGCCGGCAGGGATCTCTCCCTCTGTCCTGCGTCCTCGTTCCGGCTGAGCGAGTCCAAGCAGTGGAGAGTAGTTACGCCTGTGTGCGGAGGAGGGTCGTGGTCACTGTGGAGACGGTGCCAGCTCAGTGCCCTCACACACAGCTGTGGGAAGCCACCAAGGGTGCGGAGAGGGACAGCCTGTCTGGGCTTCTCTCCCTCCAAAGGAGCAGCTCAGCTGGCTGGCTGCTTGCTGAGGCCACAGCTCATGCATGGCAAGGGACAGTGTGAGCTGACCAGACAGCAGGGCCCATGGCTCGTGGCTGCAGGGCTGAGAACACGCCTTAATTCACAGTGAGAAACTCACTGTTCTCTTCCCAAACCCCCTCCTGAGCTCTGGGGAGAACCCAGACTCTTCCACTTACAGAGACCTGCTCAGTCCTCTTCCCGGCCACTGTCCTACCTGCTGAAGTGTAGTGCTGGGCGTCGCATCCGGGCATTCCCGGAGAAGCTGAGTTGAGCTGTCAGTCATTTCTTTGATCTCCACCATCTTCCTTTCCCCAGGCCAGGCCCTTCAGAGTCCCATACCATGTGAGTTCCCCGGGGAATTTGCAAAAGGCCTCCCGTGGAGTGAAACTGACTGAGGAAGAGGCAGAGACCAAAGGCTCCAAGAGAGGCGCAAGCCAAGGGGTGAACAAAACAGGCTCTGAACCAAATTGCGCAGTTTGTTAAAACATTTATACAGTATTATCTATGCATATAACAAAAGCCTGCAAGGAAATAAACTTTCTGGTTGGTGGGATGGCAGAAGACCCTAACTTGTTTATCCTCCACCCCCTCTTCTGATTTGAGCCGTGTAGCCCAGCTCCAGGGGGCCTCTGCTCTGGTCACCACTCTAGGTTGTCCCGTCACAGAGTGGAAAAGATGGCCCCAGATCACTAGGCTGTTAGAAGGCTTGAATATGAAAATGTACCTAAAGCACCCAGCGTGGCGCTGGCCCGGGGTCAGGGCTCAGGAATAGCAGCCGCCCTCCCTCCTCTCCTCTCCGCGTAATCCAGGGTCTGATGCAGCAGCAGCGAAGTGGCAAAGGAAGACATCGCTTGGAGGAGGAAGGCAAGAGTAAGAGGCAGTGGCAAGAGCGGGCGGGGGCGAGAGCAGACCCCTGCAGCCGCCCGCTGCGTGGCCCACACCCTGGGTCCCTGGGGTGAGCTCCCAGGTCTCCCTGGGCCACAGTCTCCTCGCCGTTACTTTTATCATAGAGAAGCAGACACTAGCCAAGTAAGAGAGGCGCTGGAGACTCGCCGCCCTTTGAGCGTGGCCAGAAGGAGCGCACGCTTCCTCTTTTTCTTTCAGTGCAGATGAAGCGTCTGGGCTCCCGATGAGCACAGGGTGTGCACGGACGTCCCCCGTTTTGCAATTGGTCAGGGAGCCGACACGCATGCTGCCACCTCCCATCTGCCCACCTCGGCCTGAGTGCTCCCTGCTGTGGTCCCAGGGCGCTCCCAGCTTCAGCGGGCTCCCTTGGCCCCCGGGACGCAGCTGCCTGCAGAGCTGGCGCGAGGCGTGTCGCCCGCCGGAGTGGCCAGCCCACGCCCAGGTCCGCTGCCCTGACCCCGTGATGTCGTGCAGGCAAAGGAGAGCCAGGGGAAACGGGGAGAATGGAGAAGAGCATTCCGGGCAGGAGAAATGACACGTGCACGTGGCTGAGGCAAGAGAAGAGCTTGCCACATCTGTGGAGCAGAGAAATAGCCATTTTTGCATAATCTTCTGTATTCTCCAAAGTCCCCACTGCAGTGCTGAGCATACACTAGGCGCTCGTGACTGGCTGTATTCGGGACCGTGGACCGGGCTCTCTCTGAGCCAGGACTCTTCCCACTCCCGGCTCCCCTGCCAGGCTGGATTGTCTCCTCTGCCCCCCGCCCCCCCCAGCAAGTGCCGTCCCTCAGCAGACCCCTTCTCCCGCGCTGGCCCTTGGGTCCCCTCTCCTCTGGCCTCTGGCTGGGTTCTGTCGACAGTGGTGAGAGGACCAGAGGGTGACTCCACCTGTGTCTTCCCCGCACCCTCCCGGTGCGGGGTCCTGTTCTAGCAGTGACCTCTCGCCTGCCTGCCGGGCCACAGCTCCTGCCGGCCGCACCTCCTCCACTGCTGCAGGCTGCAGACACAGATGACAAGGGACAGACAGACATAAACAACGTTTGGCGACGTCTAATGAAAGTAAATTGGATCTAAGCAAGGATCATCAGTGTGTTTGCTAACATCAAAAAAAAAACAAAACAAAACAGAGAGATACAGCCAGAGGCGATGGCTGTCCATCCTCTCGCCCGTGCAGTGTGAAGTAGTTTGTCGGAAGGAAAATGAACCTGAATCTCATCCAGCCTCTAGTTTTACACTCCCATTAACAGAACATACAGGCCAGGTGCGGTGGCTAACACCTGTAATCCTAGCACTCGGGGAGGCCGAGGCGGGCGGATCGCTCAAGGTCAGGAGTTCGAGACCAGCCAGAGCAAGAATGAGACCCCCGTCTCTACTAAAAATGGAAAGAAATTAATTGGCCAACTAAAAATATATAGAAAAAATTAGCCGAGCATGGTGGCGCATGCCTGTAGTCTCAGCTACTTGGGAGGCTGAGGCAGAAGGATTGCTTGAGCCCAGGAGTTTGAGGTTGCTATGAGCCAGGCTGATGCCACCGCACTCTAGCCCAGGCAACAGAATGAGACTCTGTCTCAAAAAGAAAAAAAAAATCCAGAACGTACAGGAGACAGGAATAGGTTAAAGTCACACAGGATGCAGTCAGCAAAATCCAGACTGCACAAACTCTCCAGAATGATCGGGTTTCCAACAAATTGCAAAGGAAGGGGAAACATGAGGGAGAATTGAATTTACGATAAAAGAAATTTGAAGGCGGCCGGTGGCTCACGCCTGTAATCCTACACTCTGGGAGCCGAGGCGGTGGATTGCTCGGTCGGGAGTTGAACCAGCCTGAGAGAGCAAGACCCCGTCTCTACTAAAATAATAGAAGGAAATTAATGGCAACTAATACATATATTGAGAAAAACATTAGCCGGGGCATGGTGCGACATGCCTGTAGTCCCAGCTACTCGGGAGGCTGAGGCAGGGATTGCTTGAGCCCGAGTTTGAGGTTGCTGTGAGTGAGGCTGACGCCACGCAACTCACTCTACCTGGGAAACCAAAGCGAGACTCTGCTCAAAAAGAAAGAAAGAAAGAAAAAGAAGAAAAGGAAAGAGAAGGAAAAGGAAAGGACAAGAAAGAAGGAAGGAAGAAAGAGAAGGAAGGAAAGAAAGAAGAAGAAGAGAAAAGAAAAGAAAGAAGAAGAAAAGAAAAGAATTAGAAATACAGCACAATAAAACGTATGTGCTTTTTTGAATCCTGCTTCAACCCAATCAAACTGGTTAAAAACTGTAAGGCAATTTGGGATCAGAGCTGGCTGTATTCGGATGAGATCCAGTACCTCTGGTTCATTTTTTAAGTGTGATGATGGCAAGGTAGTTTCTTTTTGAAAAAGTTCTTATCTTTTAAGGATAAAACAGCTAAATCTAATTATTCTGTTTAAAATGCAGGGGCAATATGATGTGGAAAACACGATTAGCCACGAGTTGCTGAAGCTGGGGGTGGATACATAGGAGTTCTAATCTTCTATAATAAAGGTTGTTTTAGAAATTTTATATTGGAAAACAAGAGCACTATTTTCCTTGCTCCTCAACACCTCTTCATAATCCACATAGTCTCATTAATTTTCTCTGTATTTATTTTGAGGCAATTAGCTGCATACATGTTTAAAAGTGTAAAATTTTTTCATGGTGAAGTGAAACGTTTTATCATAAGGCAGTGACTTTCTTTATCATTTCGTTTGAAAGTCTTTTTATTGGCTATTAATATAACCACACAAACTTTGTTTTTATTAATATTTGCCTTATATATCTTTTTTCCCTTTTTTTGTTTTCAGCGTACCTTTGTCCTTATCGTTTAGGTGTGTCTTTTCTCATCAGCATATAGTTAGATTAGATGTTTTTCCAATCGGACATGTTTTAGTCATTAATTGTTGAGTTTAGTCTGTTTACATTTATTATAATTGACTGTTTCTACCATCTTAGTTACTTAGAGTGTTCTGTTTCCCCTTTTCTCTGTTGTTTTTTATTCTTTTCTTACTTTTTGAGTTGATCTCCTTACCTCCTTAATGAGACAGGAACTATTCATATTTCACTAGTTTCTTCTCTTCATCATTGTCTTCTTCTTACTTTCTTTGGGTTAATTCTTTTGCAGAAAAGTTCCCAATTTTGATCAAGTCTAATTTATCAAAAAATTTTTTATAGATTTTTGTTTTTGCTGTTGTATATAAGAAATCTTTGCCTATTTCACGGTTGCAAAGACTACCTTCTAGGTTCTATTTCTAGTGGTCTTATGATTTTAAGTTTTATATTTACATTAATAATTTATTTTGACTTAATCCTTTAATAAAATGTGAGGTATGGATTATCCAATGGTTCCAGCACCTTCTGTTGAAAAGACTGTCCTTTCTCCACTGTATCACCTTTGCACTTTTGTTGAAAATCAATTACTCACACATGTGTAGGTCTATTTGGAGGCTCTCCTTCTGTTCCCTTGATTTATATATCCATTGGCACCAACGACACACTGTTTTGATTGCTTAGCTTTATAATAATTCTTAAAGTCACGTAGTGTAAATCTTACAACTTTTTCTTCTTTTTCAAAGTTGTCTTGGTTATTCTATTAATAGGTCCTTTGCATTTCCATGTGAATTTTAGAATCAGCTTGTTGATTTCTATTATTTCAGATAACATACTGGGTTTGATTGAACAGAGTTGAATCTATAGATCAATTTGAGGAGAATTGACATTCTAACAATATTTAGGCAATTTCTTTCAACAATGGTTTGCAGTTTTCAGTATACAGCTCATACGTATCTTTTGTCAGATTTATCCTTATTTCATATTTGATGTCACTATAATTGATTTTTTAAATTTTAATTTCTGATTGTTTCTTTTTTTGAGACAGAGTCTCACTCTGAGTGCTGTGGCATCAGCCTAGCTCACAGCAACCTCAAACTCCTAGGCTAAGGTGATCCTCCTGTCTCAGCCTCCCGGGAAGCTGGGACTACAGGCATGCGCCACCATGCCCAGCTAATTTTTTCTATACATTTTTAGTTGTCCAGCTAATTTCTTTCTATTTTTTTAGTAGAGATGGTGTCTCCCTCTTGCTCAGGCTGGTCTTGACTCCTGAGCTCAAACGATCCTCCTGCCTTGGCTCTCAGAGTGCTAGGATTACAGGCATGAGCCACTGCACCTAGCCTGTTTCTTTAATTTATGGGTTATTTAGAATTGTGTTATGTAGTTTCAAAATATTTAGGAGATATTCTGTATAGCTTTCTGTTATTGATTCTAACTTAATTATCATGGTCAGAGAATATACTTTGTATAAATTCAATCCCTTTAAATTTATTGAGGCTTGTTTTATAGCCCAGAATATTTTCTATCTTGGTAAATATTCCATGTACATTTGAAAAGAATGTGTGTTCTGCTGCTGTTGTTGGGGGGAATGTTCTATAAATGTTAATTTTGTCAAGTTGGTTGATAATGTTCAAGTGTTTTATATACTTATTTTTTGCATGCTTGTTTTTTAATTGTTGAAAGATGGGTATTGAAATATATGACTATAATTGTAGATTTGTCTATTTCTCCTCACCATTCTGTCACATTTTGCTTCATGTGTTTTGAAGCTCTGTTACTAGGTTCATAAATGTTTAAGATTACTATATCCTCCTGATGAATTGACCCTTTTATTACAAAATGACCCTCTTTTTCTTTGGTAATATTTTTTGCTATGAAATCTGCTTTGCCTGATATAAACCACTCCAGCTTTCTTTGATTAGGGTTAACATGGAATTGTTTTATCTTTTTACTTTTAACCTATTTGTGTCTTCATATTTAAAGTGGATTTCCTGTAGGCAGCATATATTTTGATACTGCCTTTTTAAATCCAATTTTAGAATTTTTGAATTTTAATTGGATTGTTTACACACCATTAATATTGATTGGTATGATTTGGTTTAATTCTGCCATCTTGCTATTGGTTTCCTGTTTCTCTCATCTGTTCTTTATTTCCTTTCTCTCTTTTAAGTAATTTATTTATTTATGTATTTTTATTTATTTATTTATTTATTTATTTATTTTGAGTCAAGGCCTTGTTCTGTTGACTGGGCTCAAGCAATCCTCCTGCCTCAGCCTCCCAAAGGGCTAGGATTACAGGGATGAGCCACCACATTTGGTCTCCTTTCTCTTTTTCTGCATTCTTTTGGATCAACTGAGTATTTTTTATGAATCTATTTTACCTCTTTTGTTGGCTTTTCAAATATATCTCTTTGTTATTTCAGTTGTGGCTTTAGGATTTATAATATACATCCTTAAATTATCACAGTCTACCTTCAGGCGATATTTTATCATTTCCTGTGTAGTGTAAGAACCTTACAATGGTAAAATCCCATTTCTCCCCTCCTGGCCTTTGTGTTATTGGACAAAGTACACCTTTACTTCCACATACGTTATAAATGCCGCAATATATCATCAACAGCTTTGCTTTCAATAGTTGATTGTTTTTTAAAGAGATTTAAATAGTAAAAAAACAATTATTGATATACACCCATGTAGGTGCTTTTCAGGTGCCCTTCATCATATTGTGTAGGTCCAGATTTCCATCTTGTGTCATTTCCTTCTGCTTCAAGGACTTCCTTTAACATGTCATGTAGTGACAATCTGATGGTGATGATTTCTTTCAATTTTTGTACCTATAAAAAAATCTTTATTTCATCTATTTTTTATTTTTTTTATTTCAAAATTTTAAGGGGGTACAGATGTTTTTGTTACATGGATAGCTTTTATAATGCTTTTGTCAGAGCTATTAATGTGCCCATCACCCGAATAGAGTTTATTATAACCATTAGGTAGGTTTTTACGCCTCCCCACCTCCCACCTCCACATCCCACCTTCTTAATTTCCAATGATTTTACTTCCCTCTGTGCACATCAATTAGTTTCGAATTATTAGAGAGTACATGTGGTGTTAGTTTTTCTATTCTTGAGATACTTCACTTAGGATAATGGTCTCCTGTTCCAACCAAATTGCTGCAAAAGACACTGATTTATTTCTTTTTATGCTGAGCAGTACTCCATGGTACACATATACCACATTTTGTTAATCCACTCATGCATGATGGGCACTAAGGTTGATTCCACATCTTTGCCATCGTGAATTGTAAACATTCAAGTACAGGTGTCTTTTTGACAAAATGACTTTTTTTTCACCCCTGTTTTTGAAAGACAGCTTTGGTGTCTAAAGAATTCTAGATTTACAGGTTTATTCTCCTTGACTTTAAATATAATACATTCTCAAAGGAAAAATCAGAGGGTTAAGATCAGAATAGTTTTAACAGATGTGAGAGTCTGTTCGCTCTCATTTATATAAATATAATATACATATTTAAACTTATAAGTCCTCTGCCTACTTTTTAAAACCCGAACACACACACACATAGACACACACACACACACACCTTCAGGGGAAAAAAAAAAAAAACGAAAAAAGGAAGGAAGTTTCCCTGCAAGCAGCAGCAGCCATGGAGATGAATGCTCCATCTGTCTGTGTTTTGTGTCTATTTTCAGGCTCCGAGAAGAATGGAAGCAGAGGCTAGAAACAAAGCTGAGGCTGCGGAACAATCCAGATGAGACTGAAAAGCGGGCAAATGTTGGCTGAGAGCTTCCTGCTTCATTGACCCAAGGGGATTCAAAATGCTGAGGTCACGCTGCTAGGAGAAGTCAATGCAAATGCCTGAGTCCCTTTGCTGTCCCAAACAGGTCTCTCACTATTGTTTCCCCTGCAAATCCTTCCCCAGTGCTCCAATGAGAGTCCTTTCTGCATGGAGGCCAGGTTACTACCCCAAATGTCTCAAAAGACAAGTATATTTAATGTCAAAGCTCCATGCAACATACTTTATTTCCATATAACTAACTTCTGATTTTGAAACCCAAATATTTTAAACTCTAAGCACACTGGCGGATTCCTGATCTTGATGGTCATACTTTATTTAAATATTGCACTGTAGTTTTTGCCCTACCATTTTACCTAGGAAACATAGTTTTATGTAATTCTTTCTCTTGTTTTCTTTTTATGAGAAGAGAAATGCATCTATCTGCAGAAATAGAACTATTGTAAATAGTCATTAAAATGAGATTTGAAAATAAATTGACCTAGTATTCTTTTCTCTTCCTAAAAAATTTAATCGGCTTTTTCAAAAACATGTTTACTGAGAGCAGTAACATCGGGATAATGTGAATAAAACTTGGTTGTCTTGCCATGACTGTGCATGTGCTCTTCATTTTATTATTTTTGGGCTCCACGTGTTTGCATTGGTCAGCTCTCTGTCAGCCCAGCCAGAACGTATCTGGCCACCCCAACAGAGTGTTTGGCACACAGATTCTGGACTTTGAAATGTCACGGTCACTCCCTCGCCATGTCTCAGGTCCAAAAGCACCAGGGGGTTGTGCTTCTGAGAGTGCAAACTGTAACTGGGCCTTGGGTGACAATTTCTAACTAGGGGAAGGGAATTTTTTATAAGTTAAATTTTTTTTTTTTTTTTTTTACTTTTGTAAATGGAAAAGAAAACAAAGTCTGCAAAATAATTTTAAAGAGATTTATTCTGAGCCAAATTTGAGGACCATGACCCGGAGCCACTGCCAAGAGGCCTTGGGCAAGTGGGCTCGCAGTGGCTGGGTTACAGTTCAGTTTTATACATTTTCAGAGAGACAGGGGTTACAGGCAAAGTCACAAATCAATACATGAGAGGCACACATTGGTTTGGCCCAAAAAGGTGGGGCATCTCCAAAGGGGGCTTACAGGTTATGTGGGTTTAAAGATTTCTTGGCTGGCCATTGGCTGAGAGAGTTAGACTTTATCTAGAAGACCAGAAAGGATATGTTTATTTTAAGATAAGAGTGTGAGCACTCTGGGAGGTCCAGACAGGAGGACATTTTAAATTTACGATAGCTGCCTGCTAGGAAGCCTGAGTTAAGATATTTTAAATTTATGATAGGCATCTGCTAGGATGCTTGAGTTACGATAGGGGCTTCTTATCTTTTAGAAGATGTTAATGCCATACCAGAATCAGGTTGGGAAGTAAACCACCGATTTATTTGGTTAATAAAAGCCGCTTAGTGGGAATTTAGCATTTGTCAGCCTGACCCAGCTGGCCTCCTTAAGAAGGAGTGTTTAGCAAAAGAAAAAGATCAGAGTTTAGTCCTCACTTTTATACTTTTTTCTTAAAAGCTAACACACAAACACACACGTTAGCCTAGGCCTACCCAGGGTCAGGATCACCAATATCGCTGCCTGGGCATTGTAGAACACTACTCTCCCAGGACTCTCTTTAGGGAGTATGAACATTGGTATCTCAGGGCCTGTATGGCCTTCTAGATGGGAGTAGAGACTCGGCATAAATCTTGGCTGGTTCCACACTGATCTCCAGGGAAAAGTGTATAAGCCAGCAGGGTCAGCTCGGAGAGAATGATGAACTTGTGGCCAAAGAGATGGTGAGAGGGAAGATGAGGTTTTGCATTTGGAAAGCCTACTTCCATGGGGAAAAGTTTGATCGCTGGTGTGTTGACAAGTGAAATGGTTTATGACTATTCTGTCCCTGAGAATTAAAGAGGGCATCTGCTGGGAGCAGTGGCTCACACCTATAATCCCAGTTACTCAGGAGGCCGAGGCTGGAGGATCACTTTAGGCCAGAAGTTCAAGACCAGCCTGTAGAACTTGTCTCTACAAAAGAAAGAAAAAGAAGAAAGAAAGAAAAAAAGAAAAGAAATAAAAAATAAAATAAAAAATGATGTCTATCTTTTGAAATACTCAAGCATTATTGACTTTTGGGGGCTCTATCCTGCTTTGGGCCAAATCTGCATTAAAGAGACTTTTATTGATATGTTTGGATTACTAAAGCACCTAAATGTTTTAGGTGCTTTTTTTGTAAAGTACATAAATACAAGTAGAATGAAATTACTCTGCAGACGGATACATAAACTCAAATTTTTGTGTTCACCTATGTGGATGCAACTCACCACCTTTAAAACCCCAGCAGCATTCTCTTCTAGGAAAAACAAGTCTCTGTGGATCCTGGTAGATGCATCCAAAACACAGGGTTAGTTTGTCCAAGGTCTAAACAGAGACTTGGAAGGTGAGTCAGACCTCGAAGCCCTGCTCTCAGTCCATTCTGCCTCTCCGGCCGGGCGCAGGGACCTCTCAGAGTATGAATATTCCTAGCTGCTGCTCCTGGGAAACCCTGCCTCCCTGGAGATGAGCAGACACTGCTTCCTTTTCTCTGATCTCTGGGAGGCTCCCAGGTTAAAGCCCCTGGTGGGTGCGGGGCCAGCTTTGGCAGAGCCTGAGAGATGCAGTGGGCGCAGGCTATGAAAGGGGTGTGGCAGCACCCTCAGGCTTGGGGAACCGGCAGGGCCAGAGGGGCAGAAAGACCCTGGACCCACCTCAGGGTGCCCCGAGGCAGAACCCCAGCTGCCTGGGCATCTGGCGCAGCCCGAGGGACAGGAACAAGGCTCCTATGTTAGGAGACACAAAACACAGCTGTTGAGTGAATGAATGGAGTGTTTGCATACAGCACAAGCACATTGTTTTATGAGAAACTTTTGAATAATAACCCCATTCAAAGCAGGGCTGAGAGGACTAGATAGATGCTGCTGGAGGCTTATTTCCTGTCACTTTTAACTTGGCTTTCTGAGTTAGTCAACATAAAACACACTGATACCAGTCGCTGAGCCTCAGGGGCGTCTCTTCTTACAAGGCCACTTCCTGGCCAGGAAGCTCTCAGTATTTCATAATTGCACAAATGTTTCCATTTGGTCTAAAGAATGAGGGACTTTACAGGGGGGCGGTGCTTCTGGAACTTTTCCACGATGTGCCCAGTCCGGCTGTGGAGGGCCTAAGCCTAACTCTGGGGTGTGCTTCTCTGCTTGTAGTTTCCCCCCAATAAACATATTTTCACCTGCTGTCCTGTGGTGCCTTTACTGACAGGTGGTCCGAGCCCCATGTTCTTGACAGCGGCTTCATTCGGGCCCTCCCGGACCCAGAAGGCTGACTTGGAAGACGGCTCCCGAGTGTTCAGGGGTCGCGAGGCAAGCAGAGGGACGGGAACAAAGCAGGCAGGCAGCAAACTGAGGAAGGAACACCGGCGGAGGGAGAGACAGTGCAGCTTTCTGGAAAGACTCTTGCACGGGGTTTAGAAGAATTCGCTCTGGAACATGGCTGTTTCTATCAGGAACCAGTTAGGAAGAAGGAGGAGGAAGAAAGGAGGGGCGAGGGAGGCAGTTCAGCAAAGCACGCGTATTAATACTGCAGAGGTCTGGTTACAAAGGTCCTGGAATAGCTGAGACGCCAGACAAGACCGAGAGGAATCCATTCTCTGTCTCCTTATTCGTAAATGGGATATTCCTGCATCCTGCCTTCCTGTTCTTTTAACCTGTCTATCTCTCATACTATATATCTCATTTTTCTTAATGATTTGCTATAATATGGACAGGGCAGGTTTTGCATATCTATGTATTTGTGCACACCAAGTGTGTGATTTGAAACCCTTCCCTTATGAATGCAGTAGGATCTAAATAATGATGAGCCCTGTTCTTGGGCCTAGTGGGAGGTGAGGAAGGGTATTCTTGTCTGTCACATATATTCACATGCCAGACAGAGTGGCGAAGGGCAAACTCGTCACCAGCCCAAAGCACATCCTGAAAGGCCAAATGTTTGCTCTGTGCCTCCAAAGTAAGGGCTAGGACAGCTGGCTGTGCCCAAAAGGACACAATTCTTCCCATAGGATGTTCTCAGCCAAGCCCTAGAAAGTACATTCATTCATTTATATAAAATAGAACCCTACCATACCTGTTTTTGTCATCCAGCAATTTATCCCAAGCAAATGCCCACTTAATGTACAAATACATTACCGTGTTAATGACCTCAAGGTAGTGCAAATCAATGAACTATGATTTATTGACCAGTACTCAAGTATAGAAATGTAACTCTAAATATTCATAGCACCAATGAGCATCCTTGTCCATTTTTCTTTGCATGTTTCTCTGATGAAAAGTCATTCTTAGAATGCAAATGCTAGGTAGGCCAAAGCATCCAGAAATCATTAGAGGTTTTGAAACTACTGAAAAGTGCCCAGCAAAAGTGAACCGATTTGCCTACCCAGAAGACTTAGATGATGAGCTGGGTGTACAATCCACACGCATTTCCAGAGCTGTGCATTAGCATTCTTTGTACCCTTAGTAAATGTGATAAGTGAACAGTTATACTGGATGGTTCAAATGTTGATTTCCTTACATAACTGTAACAATGCTCCCATTTCCTTTGTCATCCACTTTTATACACAGTATTGTCATTGCTTGTAGTGCCCATTTGTCTTTTTCTATGGTGAAAATTTTTGCCTTTTATATGTGATAGCTTTCTAAAATTACATTAATATTTTATCTGTAATAGTGTCAAAAACATTTCCCAATAATTTTTTAAATTTTAATTTAATTCATGGGAATTTTGCTATGAAATTGTCCCTTTTTATGTTGTCAAATCTTTTATTTTGTCATTCTTTTACTTGCATTTTCTGAGTTTGTTGTTATGACTCCAACACTCAAGGTTTACAGAAATATTTATTTGTATATTTTAATATCTTTGGTTGTAGTTTTGTTATGTTGAATGCATTAATATTTTGAGGTTACTGTGGGAATGTACAAAATACAAATAATAAGTTGAATTTTAATTTCCAAATAATTTTTTTTTCGAGTCAGAGTCTCACTCTGTTGCCCAGACTAGAGTGAGTGCCATGGCGTCAGCCTAGCTCACAGCAACCTCAAACTTCTGGACTC